GGGTTAATTGAAGGTACCTCTTGATGTTCGCCAGAAGTTCACTCATGAGCTTCGTACGTTTATCCCGATTCTTCATCTGGGATTCCTGCATCCTTTTCAAGAGGCGAGCAATGAAGGTGTTGAGTGGGATCGAAATAACCATGATCGCAATGCCAACAAACGCAGGCCATCCCAAAATATCATACAGCGATACGAAAGCGAGGGTAATCTGGATTATCAATGTAGTGAGAAATAATATAGTTATTGTGTGAATTGGACCACTTACCTGGAATGGGCCAGAGATAGCGATAAGACCGTACGTGCAGAAATCTTGCAGACGAGTGGCATCCACTGACATGAGATTGACAATGTCGCCTGAAGCACTTCCGCGCCCATCATTGGATAATACCAATGCTTTCTGGTAAATTACGGTGACAAGCCCGGCGCGAACGCGCATACCGGTCTCAAAGCATGCTTGGAAATACTGGGGAACATGGGTTCAGCCTTGAGCCCACGGGGCAAAATGTGTCCAGTGACGTACCTGATGCAAGAGTACAGTCTGCGTTCCGGCCGCGAGGAACATGAGGACGGCAATGGCGAAACCCTGCATGGGGCTCGGGGCTCCCTGGATGGCCACTCCGTCCGGACGAGCAGTCTGGTATGCGGAAATATAGGCCAGTAACCAGCGAAGGAGCTGTGGCTGCAAGAACACCAGGCAATCCTGCGCAAGCTTCAGGATTGCAGCGAATGCATAAGGCCCGCCATACGCGACACAAAGCGCTCGGAACAAGGTGTGGCTGTAGGATGAGATGTGTTGAGACGTTATTTGTTTGAACTAGAAGCTTTCACTGACTGTTTCTTTAATGAATTCTGGAGCTTATTGCCCAGGTTGGCGGACTCGTCTCGTGGTAGCAGCGAGGGGAGGTCGTCTTCGGTGATATACGTCTTGGCGCCTTTCTTCATTAATGAGGACATCCATCCGAAGGACCAGATGCTATAGATGTTCGCCGTGAGTAGCGGACTTGCCACGTGGTCTTCTCCGTGCTCGCTCTTTGGAACGTCCTCGGCTGCGAACGTCGAACCCAGGCATTCTATAACGAGCGAGGCCAGACCCAATGTCACTACAGCGCCTTTCAAGTAGAAGACAACGAGTAGTGATGCAGCATAAGACAGCCATTGTGTCCGTCCCCATATCGCGAGAGCAAGGACGTAGATAGGCCAGAACAACAGGATCAGGGTAGACGAGGTGCGCGTGCGATTATGATTAAGGTATGTCAAGGGCAGAGACAGGGCCAAGGCAATAACCTCAAGGACATAGGGCTGAAGTAATGTGACAGGTCGTTTTGTCGCAATCACGACTGCCAATTCCGCGATACTGGCTCCGAGTGCAAACAAGAGCAAGACCTAACCGCAGCATCACACGGATCGACAGAGCAAGGATGTCACATAGTTGTCAGATCGTGAATTCAATGAGCGCAGTCAATCAGTGACATTACCAGTTTAGCCCTAAGTACCCAATGGCTCTTTCGCGACCTCTCCAAATTCTCAAACTGAAAGTTTAATGCATGGATCCTGAACACCGCGAGTACCACAAAGATGGTTAATATCCCTGGCAGAACTACGCCTTCTTCAAAGCATGAAGTCAAGTCGAAGTCCCGCAGACGCGAGACGGGCCCCCACTGTTCGCCGTAAGGGTCCGTGCAGGTCACGACAGGCATGACCATGGGTATCGAGCACGAGGGACTTGATGGGAATTGCGCAAAGGTCGATGTTCACTTCTCCCACATCCTTTTTAAACCCTTGCTGAGTCAGCGGCATAGTGTCCGCATCTTTGCTTCCGTCATCGGCACACGCGCCCTGGCGCGTCTCGCACGCGTAACGCGTTCATCCACGTATCCCCGTCGTGGTCCCGGTCACTAGTCAAAAACATCATCAGCCACTAGTTTTCACAATCCTGACGTTTTCGCTAAGCACTCGATACAGAATGGCCGTGATTCATCGGCTGCAATCACTACAATGACTCTGAAACTTTGGGTGTAAGAGCGAGGATGCCGAACTCGTAGCTATTCTCCTTCGCGATATACTCTTGCTTGATGAACTTTGCCGCGTCCTCCAGCAGATTCTCCGACGCGCCTCTATCCACCGGGCCAGTCCTCTCGCCATCGAGTTCCACCATCCTGAAGACGCCTGGAGTGCCGCTTGGAGCGTGCACGAAGCACGTATAGTGGGGCTCAACGCGGATAGACGAGTCGGGTGCTACAGTCTGTCCCATCAAGGCAGTCTCTTCGTGCACTTTCGCGATACCAGCAGAGTTCTCAAGTATCGCGGCACGTTCAGTACCAGTCTTTCCTGGACCGTGTAGGGTCAGTGATGTAGAAGGTCAATATTGGAAGAGCCCAACCCTGGCACGCAACAAGGAACCGCTCAAGGGTACTTCCAGCCTCAATGGGCAGGCCAGCCTATGATACGGGAATTCAGCATCGACATCCACTTGGACGAAAACGCGTGAGTATACATTGGCAAGTGAATGCAGCAAAGCCATCGTCCCGCAGGCGTTTGCAATCTGGTGAAGCGGTAAGTATACGCTGTAAGTACGCCGTCTGTCGCTTCTACAGTACCGTTTGCTTAATCCATATCACTCTAGGATCAATGGGATACTGTCCCGACGCGTCGATCTTGGCATGCTCGTCATCGCGCCTCTTGCGGTACTCGGCTGTCCAGGGAAATAGAAGTATAACTGCTTTCACCGGCTGTGGCACAATGGCAAGCATCTGATACGCGCTACGGTGAACGGCTGCTGAGTCAACGTGTGGGAAGGTATACCTCGGGATCAAGGGTGTATATGTCCCTGAATTCATAGTCTGGAGCAGAGAGCCCAGCTTTCTCGGCCCACTGTATTCACCTGCGTTAACTGGGGCGCGGCGAATGCTATGCTATTACTCACGACGTTCATAACCTTTAAGCGTATGAATTCAGCACACAGATGATAGGACTCCGACCAGTGACTCACATCCGGATTAATTTCCAACGGCACCCAACGGATGTCTGACATTGTAGGCGACGTGTATCAAAGGCAGTTGTATCAGTAAGGTGCGCGGGCTGGAGGCGGAACAAGGTATGCGTAAGTGTCGTGTTAACGCTCGAACGCACCACTTATAGGTCACACAGAACTAACTGTGACCATAACACGTAGCGTGAAGTTCGTCATTCGGCGAGTACAGCCTTGCTGCGCACACAAATGTGTTCTGTGGCATTCGGTTGTGAGGGTGGGGACGTTGAAGCTGTAGCCAGCTTCTTCCGTGATGTGTTCCTCGATATTCAATATTATCTCTGATCTTAGCTGTCTTGTCTTTGCGCTCGAGCATTCTGTATACCTCTCTCAACGCACGACGCGGCCAATGCATGTAAAGGCTGCCTCTTCAAGGGTTGACCATCGAAGCCCGGAAGATTGGACACTGGCCATTCAAATTGGTACTCAGCGATACAATGGATGATGTTACATGGGTTTGTTTCGATGTGAAACCGCTGTAGTGTCCGTGTAGCTTAAGCGGGAGGAGCTAGCGCGAGCATGCTGAACTCGAGGCTCGTCGACAGAGGAATGTAGGTCTCCTTGATGAACCTCGCCGCATCCTCCAGCAGGTTCTTGCACACACCTCGATCAACCGGTCCTCCTCTCCGTCCGTCGAGCTCAATGAGCCTGTGATGCTCCTCGTCGGCTTCAATACCGTCCTCTCGAGCAGGAGGGCTGGGTGCCTGCACGAAGCAGGTGAAGTGCAAGTCAACGCGATCATTCGCAGAGGGTGCTGCGGTTTGCCCGCCTGCCGCTGCCTCTGCATGGATATCTGCAAAGAGCGGGGTCGTCTCAAGGAGCTTCGCCCGTTCCTCGGGGGTTTTGTCTACGACCGTGAATGTGTATGACTGTGATGCTTCAACAATTCAAACTCACCCATGCATAGCTCGATGAACTTGGACAATGGGCTTTCGGGTTCGAATGTCACGTTTGACTACGGTCGGACATTAGTGAGAACATGACCCAAGTCAGCAGATGCTTACATTGGCCAGTGCATGAATCAGACCCATGGTGCCACAGGCATTGCCAATCTGGGTGCGTGTCAGTGAGAGCGCAGTGTCGTGTACAGGAAACGAGAGCGGACTGTTTGCTTGATCCATAGGATTGTGGGGTCAAGCGGGAACTGGCCTTCCTTCGCAATCTTCGCGTCTTCCTCTTTGCGTTTCTTCTCGTATTCTTCGCCTATAGGGAACAGAAGAACGACTGCCTTGACCGGCTGCGGGACCATTGCGAGGAGCTGTCACGCCCTGTTAGTGGCATGTCATCTTTCGACTGGTGATGCAAACGCACCTCAGGGTCGAATCCATACACATCCGTAAACTGGTCCTGCGAAGTTACTAGCCCTGCCTTACTAGACCACTATAGTGGAAATATTCGACATGCAGCTCGCTGGTTGACTGCCGAATATGCACGCACAGAGTTCATGACCTGCAGTCATCAGGTTGGTCAGAATTTATCAACACGGCATGACAATACTGCTGACATCGGGATTGCTCTCCAGTGGTACCCAACGAGAAGCCATGTTGTGAGTATGCAGCTTTGTGTTACAGTATGCTAGTGACAGCGGTGGCTGTGACGGTGAATGGTCAGTGGAGCAGATTTGGAATGCCTACTCGCGCCAAGATGTCAGAGCATGTAGTGCTGTGGTGATTTCCTGCAGAGATATTCTCTGGAAGGTGTTCTGCATGAATATCTAACAACAGCATTCTCCAAAAATATACTGTGCATCTGTGAATCCGGAAATGTGAGCAGCAAATGCGCATCTTGAGAGGACAGAAAAAGGCTCAGCCGGGAGTCGAACTCGGGTGGATCAATGAGCGCCTATTACTGTGCAGAGTGTTGCTCTGCGCAATGGCTGGCAATAACTTCCTCAAAAGTTTGCAAAGAGATGCCCCTGCGTATCTAGGAATGCTGGTAGCATTTGGCAACTTTCTGCTGAGTAAAAGCAAAAGGGCTCAGCCGGGAATTGAACCCGGGACCTCCTGCAATGAAAGCACGTGTTATTCGTGCGGGTAAAAGCCCGAAGCAGGAATCATACTACTAGACCACTGAGCCGTGCGAGGCAAGCTCTACATTGCTATCGTAACATTAAACTTCTACATAACAGTATGGCTTGTGTGCGGTCAGGTACGCCTGCATTTTGGACACGCGTAATTCCTCACATACAGTGCAGGGCAGTGAAGCGCAGAGTTCAACACAACCTGCAGCCACCATGGTGATAGTAGTTCTTGTCTACGCTCAAGCCTGCACTAGCGTCGGACGAACTCAGGTCGTCAGTGCATCATAGGCCAGTAGTCTCCTTTGTTCTCATAACACCACTCTAACGACCATTTAGGCATTTATCAGTCTTTATTACACGCCTTGCTCCCGAGCTTTGTAAAAGTGGCGTTTGCTCAGGCTACAGAATGGCTCAATGGACAAAGGAACTTCGCAGGCATGTCATCTTACCGCAAATCCGGCATTGGGCACCAACCGTTGGTATGCACAAACCGTCTCGACGTGTAGGCTGAAATACTGGACGGTACGTCCACTCGATGAGCCTCACTGCGACGCCCCTCGCCACCTTGTCTAACCAAAATGCTAACTGCCTACGAACTCCTGACATTTCCTGCCACAACATTATGCACCATATTAGCCATATTCTTTCGATTTGCACGACCTATCATACGATACACCTTCACCCTCACTGTCCCGCAAGAAACACCCGTACACACTCTATCATACTCATCTGTCTCTGAATTCGCTACTCTACGACTAGACCCACCTTCATCTTCCATCCGCCACATTCCGCGGCACTGGTCAGGGAGTGGCACACTCCCTTCCTACCCTCACCAAGAGAAGCATGCTCCCCCTTATCAGGGACTGGTCTTGACCTTTGCGTTTGGTATGCTGGTCATGCTTGCATCGGTACTCTTTCTCCGGTTCCGCTTGTGTTTTACCGCTCGTGAAGAGTCCAAACTCGGGGATGTTGCCCAACTTTACACGGATATTACAGGGAGGCCGTATGTTCAGCCTCCTTGGGAGCTGGTGTCGCTCTCGGAAGTCCCAGATCTGGAACCCTCGCCTTGTCTGTCCGACGTAGAACTCAATCTATACTTCTGCCACGACATCTCTTTCGAGCTCAGTTTAGATGGTATGTTTGCATTTACTCTGGATGTGTCGTCGGAGATTCTCACAAAATTCTTCGCAGCAGACACAGTCGAGGACATCTCTGCTTTGTTCTATGAAGCAAGCCCTCCACACGCTTCCGAATTCCTTGACGTCCACGGTCCGATATACGCGCATCTCGTCAATAACAAAAGTGTAGACGACTACCTAAAGATGCTCACAGACGCAGGCTACTCAGACTTCAGCTACCAGGCTCTTGACATCAAGAATTCAGACCCGAAGAAGACTACAATCGAATGGGAGTTCACCGCCAGGTCGCCGGCTTTCGACGTCTTCATGGTCTCGACCGTTCGCATTGGATCGCCTGGAGATGTGCCACTCACCCGGACGGACTTTTTGCTGTGGGATATGGGTGGCGGTGTCTACAAAGCAGTGGAAGTGCTCGAATTGGCTGTTCAGACTCGCGAAAACGTGGAAGAATGTGCGGGTGAAGAACAAGACCTCTTTATACACTCTGACGACTCGTTCGCCTCTTCAGACGATCTCTCCGGCCATTCGTCCACTCTTCACGACTTATCCGTGGCAGGAGATGATCGCGATGGCGTTTTCGGCTCCGTGCCCGTGTTCACGTTCGGCGGCAGCAATGCGTCCAGAAAGCATGGCTTTACCTTCGGTCTTGGAACCCGTGATATATTTGACGAGAGTCGTTCAGAGACCAGCACTAATAGCGACCCTTGCGAAGATTTGACCGGAAATCACAGCTTGGATCCTGACGAAGTACTCGAAGGCCTTTACTTGCCGGGGGGTGGGATCGCCTAAGAAACACCCAAGGCAACGGAGTTCAGGACCATTCCCGTCACCACCCGCAACAGAGACTTCGGACGCGGCTTCGGACGCGGCTTCGGACGCGGCTTCGGACGCGGCTTCGGACGCCTGTCTTTAGAGCAGTAACTGACGAGAATCATTTATGTTATATGTGCACCATGCAATCTAATTAGTCGCGTGAATCAAGCATATAGCCTAGTGTAGGGTAGAGACGACCTTCTGCGCCTCTTGCACCAAACGCTCCGGGCACGCCAAACTGAACACATGGCTCTCCTGAACATACTCTACAAACGCTTCCCCTCGTTTGTCATATCGTGTTTTGATGGGCTCTCTCCCCTCTACTACATCCATCATAAACGCTCGTGCGCCGGAAAGGACCTTTTGAGCAGGTTCTCCGGCTGTCTCGTGGCCGCAGGATATGCTCGTGGCCTCCGTTCCCACTAGTTCCAGTAAGGCGTCGACAGATTTGAACCATGTCACGATCGACCCCTCGGAGGGGAAGATGATAGGTGCATGCTCATACAGGGTGTCGCCGACAAATAGCATGCGTTCACCTGCATCCCATATTGCGATTTCGTCGGGTGTATGGCCAGGAGTGTGGATGATCCTGAGTCCGGTCCATGGGCTCTTGGAGTGGGTTTGGTCTCTACGAACGGCATGCTGGTGGGGAACCAGTGTCGGCTTGTATGACGGCACCGGTATGTCGAGATATTTGCAGAGCGTGTGGGTAGGCAAGTTTGACGGGTCAAGGAAGGATGGAGAGTGATCTGACGCAAGGATCTGAGAATCCTTAGCGAATTCTTCGACACCCACTGTAGAATCAACTCGCGATGAGAATCGCCACTCGTTCCAAAGAGGGGGTACACTCACGTATATGATCGTAGTGACAATGACTCAAGATCACTACATATTTCATGCTCCCGTCCTTGTTGAGAGGATATCCCGCATTATCCTCCACCTCGACTGTCTCTAGGAATTGCCTCAAGCTCTTCAGATCTATCTCCGGGTCGTCGGTGGCACCACCGCAACCTGTGTCAATAATGACTATTGTTGCTATCTCGGCGCAGACCTTGGCGTAGATGAGGGGACTTTCGTGGTACATATCCGCATATTCCTCGATTACGAACGTGCTTGGAGTGAGTCGTGAGGCGTTGAAAGCCGGCTTGCGATATGAAGACATCGAGTCGTTATCAAGTAAGGTCCTCCAGACGCACGCCTTGTGATGAGTGAATGCACACCGTATTTGGCGTTGATATATATGTTGGAGAAAGCAAACAGTTTGGCAGTCACGCCGCAACGAGCGCAACTGGAATTACTACGGTCGGTTTCACAAGAGGCTGGAACTCGATATGGGTCGTCTGGCAGAAAGATGGAGGCAGTAGGACCTGTGTCTTGTCAGAACTTGAGCAGGTTCATGGACGTTTGCGATAACCTTACCAGCGATACTATCTCACGCCTGCTTACCCTCCGGAGACTGGACAGATGACTGCGACTTCTTCTCCACCCTTCAAGATGACAGCAGCAGAGTCATCTACCATCTCTTCATCGACGCTCCACTGACTCGTGGCCAGAATCTGCTCAAGACCTTTGCCTGGATGCCGCGAGGCCAGAATGTTAGAGAGTGATGATAGAGGCAGGCCGCTAGAGGGAATGATAATCCGCTCGGAAGTCAAACCAGTTGCGGTTGATGCAGCTGCGAAGTAAAGGATAGTGATCTCTAGAGTGGGAGACATGAAAGCGCAAGGATACTATAATCCTGTGATGATGTGCCAGTATGCACCTGAAATGGGCATCAAGATAATGTAGCGCTCCGTTTACACATGCCTGGCGCCAAATACAATGCATTCAACGCCACGGCCAAACCAGTACTGCACATCTGAAAACATTCAGGCAAGCGGTACGTCATTGAATTCGGAAGATTTAGCATATCACAGTTGAAACTCGCGTTCTTACTCTTGCTTGATCAGTAGCTCAGAGACCAAGGCAGCATACTACGCAGCTGCTACGATCACTTGTGCCGTGACGCCGCGCGAATCCCCATAAACCATGGCAGCCTCAGTCGCTACACGATTCCCACCCGAGCTGTTCATGGACGTACTTCAGTACGTTGGGCCTCTGCCAGTGCTGAGAGATCTTCAGTCGGAACACCGCAAGGACGCAAAGTACGGACTGGCTACCTGTTCGCTTGTCTGCAAGTACTGGGCCAAACAATGTCGCCCGAAAGCGTTTGACTGTATTCAAATCAAGGGCAGCTGTACGAGGCGCAGTGGCTATAAGTCTCTACGCTCGCTCGCTCTTTTGGTATCAAAAACACCACAGAGTTTACAACCGATCTCGGAATACATCAAGATCCTCCACCTCTATAGGGAGATCAACGACGCAGATTGGTATGATAGCGTCGAATTCAACACTAAACGGGTCCTACAGCTCTCTCAGAACCATGTCCACAAGAACGAGAGGTGCGCGGTGCTCCTCCCAAACGCAGAAATATATGCCCATGCAGTTCAAGCCGGACAGTCGATGGTCTACCCCATAGAAGGCCCTCTGAATTCCTCGCGCAACATACCGCTCTTCTGTCAGCGCATAATTCTAGAGGAGGTCCAACTGTATTGGCTTCCCGGAACCCTGCGCTCATTGTTGAAAATCTTTCGATGCATCGGGCCCTCCGTTGACCTGGAAATGAGAAGGGTGTTCTGGGTTGATGACAACGACAGAGGGCGCTCTGTGATTCCCCTGTTGGATATTAATATGAATATATCCGCCAGGTTCTGCAGAAATCCTGCAGAGGCTGTGTGGTCCGCCTTCACGATGCTCGGGAGATCATCGATATACTACGTGGACCCATCTGGGCATCAGCCACACTTGTTGTTGCTGCACGCATCGGAATTGGAGACCATGAAATCCATTTCGCAAGTGCTGTACGACGTTGTGAGGATTAGAGCGGCTCTAGGAGACGCGGACACACGACTCCAAATTTCCCGTGGCACGCTCAATGGGCTGGCAGTAGAGGATGGTGAGTCGACTCGTTCTTACGATGTGCTGGTATCTTGATAATATATCCTCCCTGTGAAGACTTGGTTTGCGCCGTGAGCATCCACCGGCTGGAGGACCCGCGTCCTATC